CCTTCCTTCCTCCTCCCCCCTTTCATTCAGGGGCAACCATAGGGGGGGATCGGCATAGGGGGGGATGCATCGACCCCCAAACTTGCCCATCGATCGCCGATAGGGCTCTGATATCCCCACCCCGCCCAGGAAGGTGCGGATTCGCTATCGGGGGCCTATCGCCGATCTATCGGCGATGTATCGCCGATTCCAGGTCGATGTTTTCCCCCCTATGCCAGTCCCCCCCCTATCGCTGTCCCTCATTCACTCCTCCCTTCTCCCTACACCTCCCCTCCGCAGAGAGCGGAAGTGAAAGACGAAGGGTCAGAGTGCAGATCGTTGAGGGTATTGAATGCAGAGGAGACGGCATAGATCTCAGTAGAGCGCAGATGATCTGGATTTATCTATGTATACTTGTAAGGTGGGCCAGAGGGAACGGGTTGAACTGATCGTGTGTTCCATGCAGTTCCGAAACAATTCGGGGATAGTTCTTTTGAGTCATACAAGCTCACATGAAAACATGTATTAAAGTTGTACATAAGGTCTTGAAGGAATAATTGGTTTCTGATTTTACCAATCCTCGCAACATCGAACATATCCACATGAATTAGCTAGCTAGCACAATAATACTTACCTGAGTCGAATCTGATTCAACTTGTTTATATAAGCCAATGTTTAAGCATATCACTGAATCATTCAAATCCGTTTGAAAACATATGAAGTCAAAGTATAGCGTAAGTGAAAGTCAGGTGGGAACATTTTATTTCACAAATCTTTGCAAACTCATATAACTTCTTCTGGAAGAGAAGCGAAGCCAATCTTTTCATGGATAATGAAATGAAGTAGTACCTTTGGCAACTTTTTGAAACACATTCCGAAATACTTGTATTTCATGTCAACGTGTTGTACTCTATTATGAAAACTTCGAAAATTGCACCATATACATACAGATGTTACGCTCAACTAAACTAGTTTTTTCTTTTCAAACAATGAAGGCGTAATAACAGAAACTATGGTTCAACAAGTATTTCAAATTCCATCAATCCTTGCAGAATCATGCGAGATCTTACAAACACATTGTTTCCATTTGAATTAGTACATACGTTCCAGAGGTTGTTTTGGTATATCATCATAATTGTTCAACAGCGGGGATTACCGAAGCATGTAAACTCATGGGGATGGCTATGATTTTAATAGTATGTAAAACACCAGTTTTGTGATTATTGTTTTCTAGTTTGAATCTATGTTCACAAACAACCATAGACACCCACATGACAACTTAACATGGTAAGATCGGCTGGAAAAATGTTTTGTGCACATTGGTTTTGTTTCTCAATGCCACGGAACCGTATAGCTGCAGAAGCAGCTAACTGAAGCTTGCGTATTGTTCACTGTTTGAACAAGTGTATTCCTTTGTTCTAATATGTACAGGGTCATGTGAAGTGCCATGGGAACAATGACAACATCATCGTCGGTTTTTTGAAACGTCGAACTCCATGTGCCACAAATGCAAATTTTAGAGTTGAGGCTACAGCAAACACTTTCAATCGCGTCAAAACAATACTGGTCGAGTTTTGATGAAAGCGATTCCTATCTTTGAATAAACACTGTTTGTTTGTTATTTTGTGTTTTCACATAAAGAAGATACACACAGAGCTAAGGCACAACATAACCACACGACCACATTGAAATTCAATTATTATGTAAGGAGTATTTGTATGAAGAGACTTGTTGCTTATTGTTCAATATTTCAGAGCCAAATCAGCTCAGATGAAGCATTCACGAAGAATTGCGACCTGTGTCATGGGAGTCTACGTCTTCTAGATGCTTATACGCACAGCACTATATAGTAGGGCATGCTGGTGTAGATGCTTATGTACATAATTGTTCAGAAACGAATGAGTTTGACATTTCATTTCTCTCCATATATACACATACGTCCATCTGATACAGGATATTGTATGCTTTATTTGCAATTGGGAATGCAACATCACTTAGTTACAGGCAGTAATTTTGTCTGATTTCTTAAACACCAAAGACGAAGCTCGATTGAATCAAATGCGTTCCCATGAGAAATTTGAATGCGAAAGTATATGCGATTGCATTTTTTGGAACGCGATGGTTCCTAAATTCAGCAACCTTCGCACATGCTTTTACATTCATCAATGTGGCGGGGCCTCCGTGGGCCGAGGAGAAATCGGCAAAGAATTTGAAGGGCGTGGGCATGCAGGGGGCAGGTTTCTCGCCCCCATGGGCCCTGCCCTCGCGCTCGTACTTCACTTGGCGCCTGAGCCTCCGCGATGCTAGCATCGCCAGTCGCCAAGACGGCCTCCCTGAGATCTGATGTCGCGTTTTGTTTCGCGACGCGGGCCCCCTCCTGAAGTCCGGGCGCACGCGCTAGGGCGCGCGGTTCATCCCGGGCAGTTGGCCTCTGAAACCAGAAACGGCCCCGAGGTCGCCAGTCAAGAAAGTCGCGGGCATTTCGACGGTCGGGGCAGACAGGGGGCGGGTGTCTCGCCCCCGTGGCCCCGGCCCTCGCGGCGGTGCTTCAGTTGGCCGATGAGCCCCTCCCGCGATGCTAGCGGCGCTGGTCGCCTGGACGGCCACCCTGAGATCTGATGTCGCGTTTTGTTTCGCGACGCGGGCCCCCCCCCGAGGTCCGGGCACATGCGCTAGGGTGCACATTTCATCCGGGCAGTTTGTTGGGCGGCCCCTGAGACCGGAAACGGCCCCAAGGTCACCGGTCAATAAATCTGGACGCCCGAAATGGGCACGGAAAGAATGGTTACAATGCCCAAAAATGGTTACAATGCCCCAAGGAGGAGGAGGAGGAGGAGGAGGAGGAGGAGGAGGAGGCGGAGGAGGAGGAGGAGGAGGCGGAGGAGGAGGAGGAGGAGGAGGAGGAGGTGGCGGGAACAGCAAATTTGCTGTTTCCGCCGCCGCGGCCTGTGTCCATTCGAGACAGAAGGCCGCCTGCCCAACAGCGGCCGCTGTTGGTTTGGGACAACACTTATTGTTGGGCATTGTACCCATGTTTTCCGTGCCCATTTCGGGCGCCCAAAATAGAATCGCGGGCGCTTCGACAAGTGGGAGGACATTGCGTTGGAAGTCTCGGTCCCCTCCTCGTCTGGGCCGTGCGTTTCTCCAGCCGCTTCGGGCCGCGCTGCGGCGGCTTGGCCGCCGCGCGGCGCGTGGTCAGGTCGACTGGGGCGGCGCGGTGGGCGAGGCCAGCGCGGTCGGAGTTGACCGGGCAGGGCAGCCGGGGGGGCGCGAGACTCGCCCAGGGGCAACGTGGCCCGAGGAACCGCGAAGACATGAGACGGCGTAGAGAGGACACAAGGATGTCCTCAACATGTCAGGTTCGACCTCCTCGCTCCTCTTTCGCCTCTCTCTCTTGCTGAGTTTTGTCTTCGGTCGATGGGGATCGAAGGTTTTCCAAGCATTTTTCGGCCGTCGTTTTAATGTCTGACCGTTGTCGGCCCCCCGGGGCCCCGGGGGCTTCTGGGCGCTCCGCGGGGCGTCCTGGGGTCGCGCCGCCGGAATCAGCGGGGCTTTGCCATCGCCGTCGTCGTCGCTGCCGCCGTCGACGCCGTTGCTGCTGTCGCCGTCGCCGCCGCCGGCGCCGTCGCCGTCGCCGTCGTCGCCGCCGTCGCTGCTGCCTCTCTTGCCGTCGCCGTCGCTGGTCGCCGTCGCCGTCTTTGCCGCCGTCGCCGGTGCCTCTTTTGCCGTCGCCGTCGCTGGTCGCCGTCGCCGTCGTCGCTGTCGTCGCTCTTGTCGTCGTCCGCGGGGATCGAACTTGATCCGCGCCCTGTTGCTCCTGGGCGCGCTCGTCGGCGCGGCCGGGCCCGCTTCGAAGTCTCGGTCGAAGGGTGCTCCGAGAAAATTCCGGGGGCCGAGTGCAGAGTGGCGCGGGGGGGGGGGGGGGGGGGGCAGGGGAAACTTTGCCGCTGTTCCTTGGGCCCAGCGCGGATGGCGCGAGGTCCGGGGCCCGGTTCTGAATGGGGGCGTTGCGAGCCGCAATGGCAACGTCTGTGAGTCGGCATAGTCAATGGGCGGGCGCTGTCTGCGAGCTAGCAACTGGGGGGCGGCGCGAACGCGAGGTGCGCCGCGGTCGCGGCGCGGGGTTCGTAGTTCTGGGGGGGCGTGAACCGTCGAGCCTCGGGGGCAGGTCTGGCCCGCCCCCGCCCTGGAGAGGGGGCCGACGGGCGCGCGCGGATGCGGGGCGACATGTCTGGGAAAGGATTGGATCCGAGGGGCGCGGGGCGGGCGGGGGGCAAGTCGCGCCCCGGTCTTGCTCGAGGCCCGGGGCGGGGGGGGGGGGCGCGACCGCGAGGTGGGTGGGGGCGTTGGTTCGAAAATCTGAAAATCGCGGCTCGGCCCAGGCGCTGCCGAGACGCCCGCCAGAAATCGCCCCGGGGTGCTCGGGGAACCGTTGGGGAGAAGCTCAAAGAGTGCCGATTCTAAACCTCCGCCGCCCCGCCCTGGCGACGTTCGTTCCCCGGCCCCCCCCGGCGCCGATTTGACGACGGGCTCGCGCCCGCGCTGGCTGCCCGCGGAAGAGGGCGGCAAAGCCGAGCGCGACTCCGTCGCCGGGCGCGCCAGCTTCTCCACCGCGCTGCAAGCGCGGGCCCCTGCGGCGCGCGTCGAGGGCACCGGGGGGCGGGCGTTGCGAGGGCGAGTCAGCTGGGGGCCTGACCTGGCCCCGCTGATTTTGAATTTTCGCCGAACTTAATTTGGACTCCCCCGGCGAACCCCTGGCGAACTCTTTGTGGCGAAACCGTCGGTTGCAACCCTGCGCCGCGAGGTCCAAATTGCAGCGGCGCAAGCGGTGCTCGAGCGCGACCAGCGCAACCGTGCGCTCGCGCGCGGCAGTTCCAAGAGCGCACCTGGCTCGTCAGTGCACTTCGCGCGGGTGCGCGGGTGGCGTCGCACTGGAAATGGTAGTGCGGCGCACTCAGTATTATCGAGCATCTTGCACGTTGCAAACGGGCGCGCGCCGGTGGCCATGGCCTCCCGCCAGC